TGTAAATACTCTAATGTCCCTACCCTTAAAACTCCCCCCAAAAACTAGTTCTCCTTTTCCCTCCTTTTTTTCGATTTTTCCCTCTTTCCTCTGTCTCCTATTTATTCTCTCTGTTGCTTTAGAATTCCCCTCTTCTCTTCTCTTCTCTTCATTCCTCTTATAATCTCATGCATTTCAATGTCTTCTTCTGGTCATAAATTATGGTCCAGTCTTTCCTATCTGATTGCTTGACAATGTTGTAAAAATTTCAAAGAAAGTATGACCACTAGAATTTATACAAAATAATTCACAAAATCAAGATCGAAGTTGAGTACTAACCTTAATCCGCAATTTGTCAAAGCGATTCTCCACAAATTTTGCTTCAATTAGGGCTTTATTGCAAGCTTAAGAACAGGGGAGAGAGTATGGAAGTTGGACGATCAAATTTTTTTGCCTTTTTTGTGATAAATGATGTTAGTTGGGCTTGGAGGGAGAGTTAATGATTGGGGGGGGGGGGCATTATCGTAAACTCACTTGCTGACATATTCCACACAAAATACCTACACTTAACATTTACTAAACGTTTTAATCAAATATGATCACTGTAGCAATTAGGTGAAAATATTAGGGGCACCGCTGATAATGAAAACTTAATAAGGTGCATCATTCATAAAAGTCAAATATTTGAGGGTACCAGTGATAAAATCCCTTTTTTATTAATATTAAATTATTTATTTTGTGGTCAATAAATTCACGTACCTAAAATTATGTTAATTTTTTTTTTTTTTACAGGAGGAAGCCTCCTCCTATCATAGGAGGGAAGGATGAGGATCGAACTCCCGTCACTTGGGTTGGGGTGGGGTGGAGCCCTTGAGGGATAGAAGGATTAACCATCCTTCCACTCCTGGATCCTCATATGATGTCCGCTAGTGTAGTAATACAATTCTAAAGATTTTATTGGTATCATGTCAAAGAGCATGCAAAGTATAAACAGTTGCATGCACTTTTTTCCATATCCCTAATTTCCTTTGTTGAAACGAGGGCACATCTAAATTCATGAAAATGGCTGGCGTTAAGCTTATATATAACTGTCTATTAAAGATACTATATTAACCTATCATTATACACCACCTTTTGCTTTCAACTATTTTATCAAACTTTCTTTTGCACCTCTAAAATCACATATATTGATTGGTAATTTGTCCTCCAATCAGAGGACGACAATTCCTCTAAGAAGAACTAGTAGATTGGCACAATAAAACTCAGAGAGGGGCATTTTTGTCATTCCAACTACATACCCCACAAATAACTACCACAAGTCCACAAGAGAGACATCGAAGTAAATAAATAAATAAAGCTTTTATTTTTATTTCATTAATTATATTTTATTTTAATTTTTTTGATTTGGTGAGAAAAGTAAGCTTTGTATGATCACCTTCAAAAAAGATGAATGATGGTTACTTATGTTATATGAGTATAAATTATATTCCATAGTTGCTTAACATGCCAAGTATTGCCTTAATTAGTTGCAATAATATTATTAGTTGATCATGTAATATAAAATCATGGAATAAATATTTAATAGTATGCACTAGTTGTTGTGTGGAAAAAAGTGGTTGGTAGGTTCTTCATTGGAAGGGAAACAAATAGCTGTGCTCTATTCTTTTGTTCTTTCCAATGTCTTAATGGGCAGGTGGAGATAGGGACTTTATACAAAATCCAAGAATAGCTAATTCCCATTACTAATATAAACCTTCCTTTTTTTCATGCTAGTAATGCTTTCACTAAAGTCTGTTTTGATTGACTAAACTGAGCTGATCTAAACTAAATATTTTATGAGAGAAAGAAATTAAGAACTGAACTGAACTTATTAAAGTTGAATTGAAAATAATCCGAAGAGAACATGCCTTAAATGAGATTCTTTTATTTGTATAACTGTATGATTTATATCTTATGTAGAGTCGTAGAGGTGAACACAATCAGATATCCGATCAAAATATTAAGAATGAGATATGAAATTAGTTGAAATCGAAATTGAAACCAATCAAACCAAGTAATAACTGACAAGGTTTTAATGTGTTTGACTGGGACTAGAGAAATTGTAATTCTTATGAATTATGAATGACCTAATGGAGATGGTGATTCCTACATTATGTGAGAATTCCATATTCCTTAACTATGCATCTTTTTGGTCAAAAAAAACAACGTACTTTCACCTACTTTGTATTTCGTAGTTAAAATGTATTTCCTAGAAATTTTGAATTCCCATGAAAATTAGGACATGCAAAAGAATTGGTTGAATTAGTCAAGTTATCTATTGTTATAACCATGAAACTTGAGAAGTTACAACTTTCGACATGAGATTTACCACCATTAATGAAAAAATGTAGTCACATGTAGCTTAATTGCTTAGGATTTGGGTCAACAGTATATAAATACTCCCAATCAACGTTTGCCATTCTCTTAAACAAGTTCCACTTGTCAATTGAATATACAGATATACTTGATAGAAGGAACATTTTCTTCTTGGTTTAACACTTTTTTTTACTGGAATATATTTTCCCTATTTTTTACTCCGTATTATTCATAATAAAAGAGTATTATTTGTGAGAGATAAAAATTATTTTATTATAAATTTTTAGAAACAAATGTTGTACTCCGTTTGATCAAATACTTATATAATTTGGGAAATTAAATACTCCACATTACTTGTATCAAATATAATGCCGTTAAATTAGCTCCCTCAAAAAGATTTTGTAAAATTGTTTAATTAATTCCCTGATATAAATTGTTGTTGTCAATATATATACTTAAAAAAAAAACCTTTGATCATCTATTAATATTTTGTTCAAAACAAAAATCATAAATCGTGTCTTATGTGCTATTGTTAATGTTAAATTATAAACATTTGATGTAAAAATGGTACAAATTGAGACGAATCTAACTCAATTCCACGTGACTATATTTTTTTCTTAACTATAAATCATCAATATTAATCAAAATAAAGTAAATAAATAATATAAAAGTCAAACAATTATAAGTATAAAAAACAAAAGAAATACATGTTTTGTTTTTTTGGAAAGGGGAAAATATTTTTTAGTTTCCCTTTTTATCGCTTTGAGTTGAAGAGAGCTATGAATCAGGTTCTTTCGCATTTATATTCACGGACTCACCGATAACATGTAACTACCCAACGAAACATGACACACCCCTCCAATCACATGATGCTAAGATGCTCTCCATTCAAAGCACCCAATTCTTCCCATTTTTATACGTCAATAAATTATACTCCATTCATAATGGTGTTGTGGGGGAAGGACGGACAGCATCACTTTAATTTTTTTTCCAAGATGTGAATTATACACTCGAATGTCTCGAATACACCATATAAATTAAAGTTTTACATCTGTTATAAATGCAATACGATATTTACATGGTAAATTTACAAAAGATTACGACCGAGTATATTAATTTTTCCTAGGTAAAAGCTAATGAGTGCCCCCGAGGCGTTAGATAAAAGAATTAAAGTGCGAATATTAGAGTAAAATTAACATTAATTACACCGAACGACACATAATTTTGTCATGAATTCCTAACTTAATACCATTTCAACCAATACTACGCCTCGAGATCGTTTTTCCTAAAATACACCCGAATATACATATGTTATTGAGCAATGTTAAACAAAGAATATATGTACAACCAATCACACTTAATAAGGTGTTTGGTTTAGAAGGTATGGAAATCTTTTCTTGAGATATAGACAAAAGAGTAATCAAATGCACCGAATGTGCTGTCTAATAAGTGAATTTTTAACTGTTAAACAGATCAAATTTTATATAATTGGGTAAACCATGAAAGTTTGTCCCCTTCTAAAAGTTCTTATAGTCTATGTGGAAAAGATGATACGTAGTAAGTTGGTAGATTTTAGGCCTAAAAGTCGGTTCATGGTTGATTATAAAGATAATAATTAAAAAAAAATGATGTATAAAGTCTGAAGGGAAAAATAAAAATGGGATTAATATTCTATGTAGTTATTTTATCATATATTTTTAAATTAGTATCACTTTAAAAATCAGATTATAAGCTTATGTGCTGCATCATTAATGCATTATCCTACGTGAAAGCCACTCTACTTCTTAATGCTTGATTACTCTCACTCTCAGGTCTCTCATACTATGCATCTTGCCATGCAATAAGGAAAGCATAAGGTGTACCACCTAACACGAAAATTATTTTTACTATGTGCATCAAGTTATGGCTTATGGGTTAAATAATTTGGCCACATTTTTATCGGAAAAGTATGACAAGACACAATTAGAATTGGTCTAATAAGTTCATAAACATAACACATTCCATTAGGCTCAAGATGTCATTTCAAAATTGGTCTAGACAAGAAAGCACATAAAAATGACATACGAAGTATGTTTTATATGGTCATAAATTTATTTTTTTTTTTTTTTTTTTTTGAAACCATATCGTAATAAACTTATTACTAAGGAAAAGTCATCCATTATATGTAGATGCCAATATGTGGTATTAAGCTAAGGATAATTTAGGTTGAAGTTATTGAATAAAGCTACACCTAGTTTTATGGTAGATGATTTATTATTGACTTTTAAAAATTGGTTCGACGCAATGAGTCCATATACGTAACTTTCACATGCATGGGTATTATCATTCGAGTTCCAACGCATGATTATTGAGCTCTCTCCGTCAACTCGCTCATGCCTAGATTATATTAGCATCGAATAATCATTTTGAATTTTTTGATTAAATTAGAAATATCTGAGCAGATTTAAACCCATCATTATGTTCTTGTTGCCAACATGCTAACATTTTCTTTAATTGACAGTCTCACCGAATTTGTATACCCACTAAAATGTATAACTGTATAATAAATTACTTGTCATTTTAATCACATTTTTAAGGTTACATTAATTGAGCAAAAGTTTCTGTATCATTACAATCTTATCCCCAGACTTATCTTGGTTATACAATTGTTCTCAAAGTAACCTTCATAGTGATAACCACATAAATCGAATAAAGGTGAAGGGTCTTTGCTCATTGTTTGCCGTAGCCCTAGTGCAAAACCGCAAACTAATAGAGAATTAAACATATTAATTGGTCTCAACCATCAACTTAAGTTTTTAGTTGAGATGATCCTTTTAACACAAATGACTGGAAAACAAAATTCTCTTCTAATTAATATTGTCATTAGCATATTTGGATACGGCCGGATCATTTCAGCCGACTAAACTAACAAAACAATGTTACTGAATGAGGGGTTTTCTTGAACCAACTACTTCAATAGGGATTAAATGACATACGGGTTATAGATCGAGCTGAGTGTTGGGGCGCTGCATGATCAAGCAACAAGGCTGAAATTTACAGCAGCATTAACTTCTATTGTCACAACATATTCAAGAACTCCAGTCCCTTGAATCCTTGATGATGATTTCTCTTGGTATCTAACGAATGAATTACAACAGTTTTGGTAAATTTCCATCTGATCCTGGCTTTTGCTACTAGTTGCTGAAGTCAATAATCTCCAAAGATAAACACGTTTCAAGAACCTGGAATAAGAAGTTTCACACATCAACAAGATCGATCAAGGATTATCACGTCGTACATAAAATCCTCCTAAACCTTATCAAAGACTTTTTTTTCATCTAAATGATGATGTGTTGACTTTTAACAATATTAAAGTGTAATCAATATCGATATATAATTAATAGACTCATTACACTCTTTTTTGTATCACAAATTAATTGTGGCCCAAGCCCAACTACTTTCTCCAACATTACTTGCTAGATGAAAAGACCTTTCAACACCAAAACCTTTTTCAACATCATTTAAGAAACAAGGACTACCCATGACTACCTTTTTAATTGCTGATGCATACTCACCTTTGATAAGCGGTCGTAAATTGCAAGGAATGATAATTGATTCATACGTAATTTTGTAAAGAAACGAGGAAAGAACAAGCTAAAATAGAAAGGCAGACAATTATTTTGGGATGGAGGGATATGTTGAAACAAGGACAGGCTCTATTTAACTTGCAACTGTTCCAAATCCCCTGCCCGTCCCATAAATATATATATAAAAATTTTAAAAAAAATCATCCTAAAAAGACATCTCCATAGTTAATTAATGGACAATTAGCGCAAACAAAATGGGCAATGAACACAACAATTATAATCATTCACTTAAGAACCAGCATACAACTTCACAACAAAACAATCCACTTGGAAGTAAATAATTTTTCACAAAGTTTATGTTATCAACCCTTCAGAAGACTGTTTACCTTGCAAGTTTTTGAAAGTTCGTTCATTGTGCAGTTGCAATCTTCAAAATATTTAAACTCTACCAAATGCACAAAACAAGCTACATAGGCTTCATTCAGTCAGAATGTAACTGCAAATTCTGTATCAAACAGACAATTTCAGGAACGCAGAAGCGTCACAAATTACTAATATAATAAACAAGAATCGCATCAGCTTCTAGTTTAGTAGTTGTACTATTTAATGATTAAAGATAACATGTCCCTAATAACTGGAAAGAAATAAGAAGACAAAGCATACTGGCATCAACAGTCAAAGATACACTGCTCCAGCTTAAACTAGCATGAGTACAAAGACAGTTCTGGTTGTTTAACTTCCAGAAACCCCATTTCCTATATAAAAAAATGTTCCACAACCTCTATTCCACAATCCTTCAATCCTATGTAGAAAAAAGAATCGTCCCTTGAGCATATACTTCCATGGAGTATGAATGACACAAGGTGCACAAGTGGATATAACATGAATATCCAGTTCAGCAAGTTTAAAAAATTATTTGGGTTTACCCCCCTACCCGCAGCAAATATGAATTTTTCTTATTTAAATGTACCACCTTCGTAACTGCATTGCATATGGAAGTATGCTTGTAGAGATTATACTAGGTGAAGTCTCAGTCAGCCTCCAGTCCAACACGATTTCTAGAACAAATTATATTCAAGTTTCTTTAAATGTAATATATTGCGCATCACTGCACCATTAGGTACAATCACATCCAGCAATTGACATGTATAGACTGTAGCACTATCACATACATTTTCACGTGCCACCATTCCTCTTCCATTCCTCAAGCTTTTAATACACAAATTTCCATTAAGAGAAACTTAAAGCCATAGATCGACACAGGCACACAAACTATTTTGAAAAAACAAGCAAACAAACATAGGCTCTAGACCAAAAGCTGTAGGAGATAGAAATATATCAAATGCAAGAATAGAGGGATCCACCTTTTTTTCCACAATCTAAAAAAGCTTTATTCAAAAGGGTTGTACAGTTTCTCCAATAGCTATTACATAAACACACTGTGAAAGGGGCTTTGTTTGGTCTACACTTACTCTAAGAAACTTTAATTTCTTTTTCTTTTCAAGGGGCAGAACCTTTAGTTCCTGAATATATAATCCGAGAGTATAAACGTGTAAAGTTACTAACAGTTAAAGTTGTTAGCAAACACTCCCTCCTTTCTTAAAACCAATGCAAGTGGAATCATACACCCTCCTTTTTGAAAATCTATGCAAGTGAAGTATCTAATGAGAAAAAAGAGAAACAACACAAAAGTGACCCACCCTCAAAAGCACGATTTTCCTGATCATCTCCTACACCTACCCACAATCCACCTTTCTTTCCCCTATGCCTTCTCCACCATCTCTTAAAACCAAATTACTCTCTTCTCCTCTACCATAGTCCACACCACCACATCACACCTTCACCTTGGGGTATAATACCACACTACCACCTCCAGAGTTCTCCTCAATCTTTCTCCTGTTTTTTTTTTTGCAGAATCCCACCTTCCCCTTTCTTTCTCCTAAACTCATAATCTTCTTCACAGCATCTTGTAGAGCTCCAATGGAGAAAATTTCAATAAAAATAAATAAAGAAATGCTTCAACTTCTTCTATTTTATCTCTTCAGAACCACAATACAAAATCCCCATCTCGCCCATCTAAACCAATTTTATATCTCCTCTACCGTACTCCATAACTCCACCCATGGCTTCAAAAAAAACCACAAACACCAACACATTATTCCTCACTCTTTATCCTACTCCTAAATTCTACTAATACTTTCTACATTTCATCTCTCCTGATACCACCAAATTCATTTTTTGAAATTCCAAACACAACTCATCTAGCAAAATCCATGGAAATTGAATCCCACTTTTATTTCGACACCTCTAAGGATTGAAACTTCCCCTATGGTCTTTGGTGTTCTATCTTCATATTTTGGCAAGTTAAACACTTTGCCACAAATTGTGCCACTTTTTTCTTCATATTCGGGCACCAAAGGTTTTTTCATGTCCTTATACAACTATCCCCTCCGGGATGGATTGCCAATCTCTATTTGATGTCTACACGATGTCGTGGAGCACATCATCTTGCCTTAAATCGAATACTTCGGTGTATTAGGTAACTAAATTAAGGCTTAAAGGATGGTCCACGGTTCTTCAGTCATAAATTTTATATTTCTTTTGCCTTTTATATCCATGGCATGCAAAATAATATTTGTAATAAAATCACACACAAGTATAACATCTATCTCAACTAGTCTTTCATCATATAAATGTCTTCTTAACATAAACTATTAAGTAAAATATACAATGAGAAAATTCCAATTTCCATAAGAATAAATCCAAAAACTCATCACTAAAATGATTTGAAATTATTTGGTTTTTTAAAAACAAATTATGTGCATTAGTCTAAGTATAGGTCCATGTATTTTGTGTATTTATGGAATTTTAATCCCATTGGTGATGAGATTTAGATTTAATCTTGTGGAAATTGGAATATTCTCATAGTATATGTTTACTTAATAGTTTATGTTATCACAGATGATGATGGAAAACTTCTATGATTAAAGATTAGTTCAAACAGATGCTATACTTGTGCGTGATTTTATTACAGACATCATTTGGCATGCCATGGATATAAAAAGGCAAAGAAATATGAATTTTATGACTAAAGAACTGTGGATTATCCTTTTAGCCTTAATTCACTTACCCAGTACACCCAAGTATTCGCTTTAAGGGAAGATAGGGTGTTCCACAACTTCGTGGAGACATCAAACAAAGATTGATGGAAGAAGTTCATAGTTCTCCTTATTCAATGCATCATGGAGGGGATAACTTGTATAAGGACATGAAGATCTTTTGTTGGTGGCAGAATTTGAGGCAAAGTGTTTCAACTTGCCAAAAGATGAAGATACCATATGGGATGGTTCAATCCTTAAAGGTAACAAAATGGAAGTGTGATTAAATTTGCCGGATTAATAGTGTGGAATTTCATAAAATGAATTTAGAAAAATCGAAAAGTTATTATAAATTTCAGAAATTCAATAGATAAGCTAATGATAGAACATCAAACAACCAAATATATTGCGAGCTCCCAAATTTCCTCTATTTTATAAGAATATACTATGCAAAAAAAGATTTCCTTGCAATAGAACATGAATATACACCCATCTAACTCTACAAAGTCTTAGGCATCCCATTATATAATGAGACTTTAGAACATTCCACAGCCAAATACATAGTTTGAGCTCCCTAGTTTCCTCTTGTTTAATAAGAATATACTATGCAACAAAAGATTTTCCAGCAGTAGCACATGAATATACACCCATCAAACTCTAGGAAGTCTTAAGCATCCCATAAAAAAGAGACTTAAGAACATTGAACAGCCAAACATAGTGTGAGCTCCCTAGTTTTCTCTATTGTATTAGAATATACTATGCAACAAAAGATTTTCCAGCAATAGCACATGAATATACACCCATCAAACTCTACGAAGTCTTAGGCAACCCATAAAATAATGAGACTTTAAACAGCCAAGTATAATGCAAGTTCCATACTTTATTTCCTCTATTTTATAAGGATATACTATGAATCAGTGTCGCCTTCTCACACTGAAAAAGGAAGTGATAAGTACATGATATAGATAGAGATGCCAGGCTAAGAAGGCAGCTCATGCGGAAGGAAAAACTGATTAAACTTGCATTGCCTAAGTTGTCTGATATCGCAGAAGCAAAAGAATTAGTCAATAAACAAATTTCCACAAAATGCAGAAGTCACATATCTTAGACAGTGCATTTTGTTGGTATCCCTCAAGACCACCATTGAAAGTTCCATATATAAATCTTGCCTTCTAGCGCCATAAAAGATGCAATAAGAGGATTAAGAATCAAAGGAAGATAAAAAGGATAGCTAAAGGAAACAGAAAAAGAGTAGCTTCCTAAAGCAAAGTAACTGATTTTATCCACCAAAACACAGGAGAAGGGAGAATGAGACACTTGCGAGGTAAACTTACATGCTAGTGTCAAAGCCACAAGTTCCGGAAAACGCATCCCACTAATTATAACCAACTCTGGTCCTACTCATTAGGCTACAAGAATGTTATAGACTAAATCAGAAACAAATCAAATGGGAAGAAGAAGAAAATTTAGGAAAAGTTTGATAGTTGATTGTAGTTAAATGTGAATAAATCATCAAACGGTGGCTTACAATCCTAGACCATTTGTAGTCTCTCCCACTACAAGATAATCAAAGTAAACAAAACTCACAAAAATGTTCTTATTTTCTCATGAAGAGATCTGTATATAGCTTTTCTCACTTCCTTTCTTCTCAAACCTCTAACCAATTGGTAGCCTTGTCCAAGCTAGTCATGACAAACTAATTTGCTTTACCATGAGTGCCCCTTCCCCCTAGGCTAGTCCATTACAAGAAACAAGTAGTTATGCTACATAGAAAAACACCATGGCTATTTTTATTACCAAACACAAAATTCCATAAACCGGGAGCCCCTTCTTCTATAGCCACAATGAATCCCGACCCACCTATCTCTTCTATAGTCTCTAAACATGTGTCAAACCACCGCTAAAAATTTCTCACTGAGTTTTATTAACTTCTCAGCCATGCTCACAAAGACTTAACATGGAAGAAAATAGCAGCAGAAGAATACTTGGCGAATATAGTTTGGTAAGCATATACAACCCTCTGATGAAGACTAAACCCCTTCACCCAATTATGATAGAATCTCGAAAAGGACCCACCAAGCACTTGTTCCATTTTTCCTCCAAAACAAAAAGGGAATACACCTCAGCACAACAATCTAAAGTACAAACATCAGCATTGACCAATGCCCGCCTAAAATTTTACAACCACTATATTCAAGTCAAGAGTTAATAGAAAGGAGAGACTAAAAAAAAGCATCCCTAAATTTCTCTGGGGTCATTGAAAAGAAAGAAATATCCGAATCGAAAACTGAGAAATTAACTACCTCCCTCCACTTAGTTTTAAATCACCGACACAATCTACAATACTCCTCATAATCAGGCAATCCAAGACATACACCAAAAGGAAAAAGGACATCCATCAATGAGGATGATCCCACTCATGCCAAATTTCTTACACTTCCTCCATCCCAAATTATTTTGTAGTAGGAGTTTCTTAATCTCTTGTAACAACTTGTTACCTTACACTTGCTCACCTCAGCTACTCAGCATTTAAAAGCCTTCTTCATTACACCCTATAACCACCTAAGCCTCTTCTTTCAATCTTTTATATCTCACCAACACAGATGTTGCAATCATACTATGTCTAATAATGTTGGCCTTATTTTTATCCATCTTAAAAAATCTGCAAATTTGATACCAAATTCTCATCTAAGCCATTATTAACTTCTCAAATTGACATGCTAATACAGACAATAATATGTTAGAAAATCCTTTGTTACAAAGTCCACACTAGATAAGGAGAACCAAAAACTGAAACGCTAAGTGTCAAGAAAAACGGATGCAATGTACACCTAACTTACAGAATTTCATGGATTCCTCACGATTTAAAAAATGCTTAGGAAGAGGATGAATGACAAGCTTATTAAGAGCATTAAGATAACAAAAGGAGTGTCACTTTAGTACTAGTATGAGAATTGAAGAAACTTCTGACACTATTTCTCCAAAAAATGAACCCATAATAAAGCACGATGAGATAAGTCCAATTCAATAGCTAAAATCAGCATACTTACAGAAAAACCTCACTTCTAAAAGAGAGCCCATACCTATGTTCTGAACTTAATGCACATGCAAGGTGCAACACACGATTTATGGCTTATAATTAAGGCACAACATGCAAGGTGCAACACACGATTTATGGCTTATAATTAAGGCACAACATGCAAGGTGAGCATGTGTACTGAACCTTGATGCTGAAGCCCCAATGAATTTGCGTTAAAATTGTTAAACCACACATTAGCTTTTGCATAATCCAAATACATGTAACACCTAGAAGTTTTTGGGACATTTGCCCCTATTTTTAACCAGCAGCGAAGAGGCAACTCTTAAGCCAGACATTATACAGATTACTTCATTTTGTACAGCTAAGATGCAGCCTAGGTAAGTAGTGATTTGTCCGAAGCACCCACCTATAGGTTATTAAGGTCCAACAAACAGAATATGAGACGGTATATGGCTATGCACGCTCAGAATCCTATTACTCCATGGTGCCTCTGCCTCATTTAACTAGCATTATTGGTAAATTTATTTGACTTTCAAATCAAGTTTCACTACATATGCAATTATTCTCCAAAAAAAACAAAGACATTACATAACAACTCACTCCCACATTCCCAAACCAGGTGGAAGGACAAATTTTCCATCCATGATTCGAATACACGTAAATTCAATACATAGGCCAAATCTAGTAATCCGATGACAAAGATTTTCACTACACAATAATGTCTTACTCAATAATCATATATTCACAAAATTCATAGTGCAATCAAAACAAATTCAAAGCAAAAACATAACTAAACAAAATAAAATTACAAATTCAACAAAATCAATTGTAAACCCTAACCTTGAGAAGTGAAGAAACCCTAGCGATTGCGCTCAGCAGGCAAAGGACGATTGAATCCACCTCTACGATTCATATACTGTCGAGGCTGACGCTTCGTAACAGCACGAACACCACTAACATCAGCACCAGGAACAGGCTTCCCTTTCGTACTATCAAACCCTACCGGAATCCCTAATTTCTTCATCATCTCAATTTCATCATCTTCACCACCTTCTTCACCATTAATACCACCATTATCATTGTTCTGACTCTTCTCTCTGTCTTCTCTTCGTTCCGATTTCTTCTTCTTCTGCTCCTTAGCAATTCCTTCGACGAATTCGGAGACGACATTGCGGTCGGTGTCATCGTAGTCGTCATTCTCTCTCCTCCGTGAATGGTGGTGGTGACGGCGGGAGCGGTCGACGGAGCGGGACCTGGAACGGGACCGTGCTTCGGATTGTGACCGGGAGCGGCGGCGCCGATCTGGCGAGCGTGAGCGCGAGCGGGCGTGGCGGGAGCGTCGGTCTCGGTCTCGGTGTCGGTCACGGTCGTCTACATCTCTCCGACGGTCACGATCGCGGTGGTCGCGGTCCCTCTCATCGCGGCCGCGGTCACGGTCTCGGTCGCGGTCTCTTTCATCTCGGCCACGGTCGCCCATTGATGTGTAAAGAGAAGGTTGAGAGTAGAGTGAAGTGAAAAAGAGTTGAAAATTAGAATTGATTTTAGGGCTTTTAGGGCCGTTTGATTCAAGGGAAAGGAGAAAATTAGAATTGATTTGTACGGAGTAATGAAAATTGAAATTTTGACTTTTTCCATAATAAAAAATAAAATAAAAAAATAATTTTTATCATCAAAACTTCTAAACCTTTTATTTTGCCAAAAAAAAAATTCTAAAAATTGTTTTTTACCACCTAACGAGAAAACCATTAAATCTAACGGTTTAAAAAAAAATCGAATTTTGTGCGCAAACCATGCTCTTCATACATTTAGGGGGCCATTTTGATTCTTCGTGAACCAATTTGAGGTCAGAATTGACAAAAAAATGATCGAAAATGCCTCGTTTTGCGTAATCACGCAAATCGAGGTTTTTTAAACACGCAAAACGAGGCATTTTCGATCATTTTTTGTCAATTCTGACTTCAAATTGGACCCGTAGAACTAAAATGCCCCCGAAAACCTTTAAAGAGCATGTGTTTGACACGAAATTCGAAGTATTTTAAAAATTCCGTTAGGTTTTTGACGACAGGTGGTAAAAAAAAATATATTTTGTGGTAAAATAAAAGTTTTAGAAGTTTTGGTAGTAAAAAAAAAATTTTTTTTTTATTTTTTTTGTGGTAAAAGTTAAAATTTCCTTATTTTAAATAAATAACGAAGGGAATAAGAGCCATCATGGAATTACTACACGACCACCTCTTCAAGTTTCTTTCTCTGTTTTTGGACACCTTGAAGACCCTGTACCACCCACTTTGGCCACCTACACCGACGCCCCTATTTTGAGCATATTTAGGTCAAAGGTTGTTTTATTTTAGAATAATCAAAAGGTCGTTTTATTTTTGGGAAACCGCTGAAAGATTGTTTTATTCTTGACAATTTTTCTATAACAAAATAACTCTTTGTAACTAACAATCAATCAATCAATAACTATATACTAAAAGACACACCAGCAATGACACGTGTCATTTTCTGGTGTGTCCTTAGTTTTTTTTTTATTAAAAAAATATTTTGGAAACAAATCTTATACAATACATAAATAAAAGATAACAAATTTATACACAATTAAAAGATTTGATGTATATTTCCATAATATATTATCAACTATATAAACATAAGTAAAAAAAAAATAAAAAAAAAAAATTAGATTTTTTTATAGAATTTGTGTCAATATTATTAGAAGGATTCTATTTTTATTTTTATTTTTATTTTAATTTAACTATATATTAAAAGCTCCAAGAAAGTAATTTGAATATCAAATATTAAAAAATTACTTAAAATAAAATATTTGATTTATCCTTCCAAAAAAAATTAACAACTTTAAATTTAAGCAAAAAAAAAAGAAAAAAAAAGCTTAACATAATTTTTAATGTCCTACGTTTTAATAAATTCATTTAGTGAAATCAAATATATCAATGTCATTTTCTGGTGTGTCCTTAGTTTTTTTTTTATTAAAAAAATATTTTGGAAAAAAATCTTATACAATACATAAATAAAAGATAACAAATTTATACACAATTAAAAGATTTGATGTATATTTCCATAATATATTATCAACTATATAAAAAAAAATAGATTTTTTTTATAGAATTTGTGTCAAATATTACTAGAAGGATTCTATTTTTATTTTTATTTTAATTTAATTATATATTAAAAGCTCCAAGAAAGTAATTCGAATATCAAATATTAAAAAATTACTTCAAATAAAATATTTGATTTATCCTTCCAAGAAAAAAATAACAACTTTAAATTTAAGCAAAAAAGAAAAGAAAAAAAAATTATTAACATAATTTTTAATGTCCTACGTTTTAATAAATTCATTTAGTGAAATCAAATATATACAAAAATATATGCATATTAACAAATGCATATTTTTAAAATCATGTCTTGCCAATGGGCAGTGGCTAATTATCACCTTTTACATACCCCCGGGTGCACATAGAGATATGTGTAGGCAAAAGTAGTTTTAAAGAAAATATACTAGCTAATAGGCTCTTTCATAAATTAAGCATAATATTTTAAACAAATTATTATTTTATAACTAAATGTAGTATTAATATGAAACAATTCTTAAAAATAACCGTGCATGGCACGGGACCTAACCTAGTTCCCAATGTAATTCACACGTGATTTTATACTTTTTTCACTTTTCTTAAGTTTTGTGAAATATTAAAAACATGCACATCATTTAGGGACGAGGGGAGTATTATATATCAAAAATCAAAACATGTAGATGTAGTAATAAACTAATAATGAAGGAAATAAGGGAATGTTTGATATGAACAATGGAAATGAAGCAAAAAGAAAACAAATAAGAGGAAATAGATGAATCATCTAATTCTTATATTTTCATTTACTTAGTTAAACCATGGAAAATAACAACTAAAACCTAGTATCTTCATTCGTTTATTTAATTTTTGTTTGAGGAGAGTAAGGATAATTGTTACTTTAGGTTTCAATTAAAAAAGTAACAAATCAAAATGAAAGTTGGAAATCATAATTATTATTAGCTTTAACCAAACACTTGATAATGGTAATAATAGTTTGATTGAATCCGTTACTTATTAAAAAAAAAAGAAACACTCCTACGTACTAAACATGCTCTAAGTAGTTACGACTCCCAATGAGCCCGCGATTAGTAAAAAGGCTTGTTACGGAAGCGTGATAAGCTCATAGCCCTACAAGCTATATAAAGAATGACATTCTTAATCCTTATCATCATAAGACCTTAACTTCGTATTAAAAACATCAATTCATGAATTAAACATATTTTAAGTCTAATGTTAGCAATTAAAGCAAAACATTACACTGTTTTGAGACTCTCGTCACGTACCTCACGCTCCACTCCTTTTGAGTCTTTTGATGTTTATATTAACACAATAGTTAAGAAAATAACAATAGTAAAAAAATAAACAATAAAATTACTCTAACTTATTAATATTGATGCAAAATGCATGGATGTAAAATTACAAAACTGCCCAAAGGAAATGAGCTACTCGTTCAAGGTCAAGGATTCATATAGCTAGGTCAAAGCTTGCATCAAAATCGATTTTAAAGTTCGTTGTCAATTTAATAGAGACATGGAAAGCTCTTTAATGTTAGGTCTTTTATCAAGATCAAGCTATTCTTGTTTTACCTGGCTCCTTGCAATTCATGTGATATTCTATTAATTTAAAGAAAAAACAAAACATGGTTGTATAATTTATTTGAATTAAAGGCTCCCTTCTATCTAATCAGCGAGTAACCATGGTTACTCTCTTATATAGTGTAATGCATGATAAAGTATAGTGTTAGAAATATAATATACAATATTAAGAAGAAATAAGTTCACCCGCTCATTGAAAAGAAAAAAAGAAAAAAAAAATCATCAACTCATCGTGTGAAATAGGTTATACAAGTTTGAAAAATAATACAACATAACTCATGCATATTATGTATATAGATCGGATATCTAAACTGGCGGGCGCTAAATATATTGTTTATATTAACATAGTTTTCATACATTAGCAATCTTGTCAATACATGCACATATTTGCTTCAAGTTGCAACTATGACGATAGTTCACTATATATCTTAATTATGATATTGGTAAAACAAGATTATCATTATAAAAACTTATTATGATTTTTAATAGTTTCTCACCTATTGGCAAAGTAATTAATTAAATCACTATTTATGAATCTTTCATTTGAATGCAATATGGCACCAATTCATCATTTAAGGATAATTATCTTTTAATTGACAATGACTTATTATAATAATGCTACTATTAATGCATCTTATATAAGGATTATTTATTAGAAATTCAAAATTTCCACCCCTTCATAATGACAAAATATATATTGATTTCAATTTGTCAATAATCCAATTGTTAATTAGTCGGTAAAGATCACGACATGTATCTTTGATTTCATGCATGGTTGTATACTTGTACATCATCTACCATGCAATGACCATGTTTAATTTACTGTCTTTAATGATATTAACTTTGATTTTAGATATATAATTGACAATTTGCCCATTTTCTTCTGTCATCACATATTCACATCACATCCATAATTAAAGATTCATTATATAATTTATTACCTCATTAATTTAATTAGCTATTTAGTTCATTATGAAAAAAATTTCAACCTAAAGCATCAATTGTAAAAGAGAATAAACTTGTAAGCAAATACTACATATCAAACCTATAATTAAAACACTAATCAATAGTATTATGCCGACACTAACAACTCCCCTTCCTTTCCCCAAAAATACTTAGGCATGCATGCTAGATAATATTAACAACTTTCACTTTTTAATTTTAAAGACACATAATATATGTATGTGACAAGCATGGGATGGGATAAAACTTTTTATTTAAGTATTATTTTTTTTTATATCTAATTTACTTAATCATGGCTTTATTTCTAAAACAGCAGTAAAAACAATCACGAATAGACACTCAATTTAAGTACAATATGAAACAATTGAACCCAACAACGGTAAAACTTTAAAAAGCACAAGTAAAACATTGTTGAGAACGATATTTCTTAATAACGCGACGTCTCACTCGTTTATAATATGAATGAATCACAATCAATAAAATCTCCGAAACACAACCCGAAAACTCCAAACTACTGCTCCAACTTTCAACTCTATAAAAACGTAACAACTATTCAGTTGGTTTGTTTGTTTACTAATAATAACAATCGTCCAAAACGTTGTAAAAACACTAGGGAACAAGACATAAACCAACTACTAAAACAACTCTAAAAAATAAACAAAAAGGTTTGTATTAATTCATTTCAGTTGGAGCGCCTGACCTTGGAGCTCTAATGTACATAAGATGGTCCACTGCCAGCTCCTTAAAGCAAAGTCCCCTTCAATCATTTAATTTTTTTCCAGATTAATGTGTTGTCTTTCTCTCTCTTTACCCTTTCATAAAAGGAGAATTAGGGTTATTGTATCAAGTACTAAATCTATATGGCTAGTGTTATTGGCCTTATTGCCTATTGTTTCATTATTTAGGAAAATGACTAGGTGAATGCACAAAAAATAAACTTATAAAATGTCGTCAATTGATAGAGTAATTTTACGATGATTAAAAAGTGGTTCAAATTATTTGCATTTGACGATAGTTGAACTACCAAATTATTAACTACTATATTCAAACCGTATTCTAAGCATAGATTAGCCTGTAAATTGGCTCATGAGGCGACTCACATGTACTGTACTTGTCTTGTAACAGCTGATTTGCGTCAATTTGGCTCGAATTCACCTGAATTAGCCCAACAACCGCCTCTTTTTGCGAGTTATTATTCACCTCAATTACTTATATCTAATTTACCCTATCAACAAAGCTCATTATTACACTACTACAATAATACTATGGAATTAAGAGAAATCCAACCATGAAAATGGCGGAGTAATATAAGCGTACTCCACTTACTACAAGACGTCTTAAAGATTGATTTATCACTACTCGTAACGTTGTACAATACTGTACCTATTAGCTATTACACTGGTACATGTTACTACTTTATATGGATAAATGAAAACGGCATTAATTTTATAGACGAGACACACACAAACCCCTTTGTTGGACATGAATAGTTCCTCCTACTTCTCCTTTTATTCTCCTTCTTTCTCTCCTGCATTTAAAAACACCAACTAAACATTACCAACTTCACATTTCTTCATATCTCAATTACTCCATTCACCTCTTCTTTCTTTCTCTCTCTCTCTTCTAAACCAAAATTTCACACCCAAAAAATTAAAAAACAGCTATTTATTTCATTGTACTGATGTTCTTCATATAATGCTGTTCCCTTAAATCCTTACATTTTCAGAAATTCCAAAAAAATAATTTAAAAAAAAACAGAGGGATTTTGTTTTAAAAAACAGGGGAGAAAGAAAAAACAGAGAAATGAAGTACATTCGATCTGGAAGTTTGAAGAGGTTGTTTTCTATTGGAAGGCGTAGTACAAGCAGCAGTAGCAGCTTAGAAGATTCTGGAATTGAAGAAGATAATAATAATAATGTTATTAATAATAATAATAAGCATAAAAGTAATGAGATTGAGTTTATTGAACCACATCTTTTTCCTAAGAAACCCACTTGGAAATGTTACTCCTTTGAAGAAATCTTTGCTGCTACCAATGGCTTCTCCTCAGGTTAGTTTAAAAACCCGGATGTTCGGGATTAATAGTCTATGTTTTTCTTTTTTGTTGTTGTAATTTGTGAATATTATTGATTTTTTTTTTTTTGGTGGGTGAACAGATAATTTGGTGGGAAAAGGAGGGTATTCAGAGGTATACAAAGGAGAGTTAAAAAATGGAGAAATGGTAGCAGTGAAGAAGCTAACAAGAGCAACCAATGAGGAGAAGAGAGAGAGAGAGTTTTTAACAGAGATTGGAACAATTGGACATGTTTTTCATCCAAATGTTTCTTCTCTTTTAGGGTGTTGTATTGATAATGGTCTTTATCTTCTTTTCCCCTTCTCTCCTAGAGGCTCTGTTGCTTCTGTTCTTCATGGTAAGTCACGGCACCTGTCTGAATTTAGTTGTCACATTACTAGTTCAAGTCGACATATTTCATTATCGTTTGCAAATAGTTAGTGAATCTAAAACCTTTTTTGTGAAAATGAAAATGAATCTAGGGAAAAGAAAAGTCATAGATGGTTTAATCTTAGCCATTAATTATTTCGTCAATAAAAAAGTTAAAGTCGAGTTAAGAATGTTATCTTTTTGAGAAACTCTCGTGTTAGTATTTTGACATTATGTTAAACTCGAATTTGGCCGAATAATGTAGATCAAAGTAATCCACCGATGGAGTGGGAAGTGAGGCACAAGATAGCAATTGGAACAGCCAAAGGGTTACATTACTTGCACAAAGGGTGCCAAAGAAGAATTATTCATAGAGATATCAAGGCCACAAACATTTTGTTAAGTGAAGATTTTGAACCACAGGTACACCTTACAATTATGTACTTGGTATAATTATTGTTATGTTCCCTATATTTCATTGACAAAAAAGATGATATGTTTACTAACAACATTACATCATGGGGTTAAGTACAGATTTCTGATTTTGGCCTTGCCAAATGGCTTCCAACCCAATGGAGTCATCACTCAATTGCCCCAATTGAAGGAACGGTCGGGTACGTATTTTATTACCTATCCATTCACGTTACATTGACACAAACTCTTGTATCAGACCCCGTGTAGTTGGCCTAATTGGCTAATGAAAAGTGCTAGTTCAGTGGGGTATACATGTCGTATTAGGCCCTTTTAATCAACTTTGGTTTGTCATCGACTCAATTAGTATGCTAATGATTCATTTCGGGCTTAATTATGCAGATATTTGGCACCTGAATATTTCTCCCATGGGATTGTTGATGAAAAAACAGATGTTTTTGCATTTGGAGTCTTCCTTCTAGAACTAATTTCCGGGAAAAAACCAGTTGATGCCTCTCATCAAAGCTTACGAAGTTGGGTAAGAAAAAAAATATATATTGCCATTCTTAATATATTATTATGCTGTTACATGTTTATGTCATCTAGAAATATAAAAGTTTGTATTTTTACACATTTATTATAACTTCGTTGTGTTTGACTAATGTTTAGGGTTTCTTGTGGGTTTAAGCTTCTTGGAATATATAGATAGTGATTACATAATATAATCTTTAATCTTTGTTGTTTATCTAATTAATGTCAAATGTATGATTATGACAGGCTAAACCTTTCCTCAAACGAGGGGAGATTGAGAAATTGGTTGACCCAAGACTTGAAGATACCTATAATGAAATTGAATTAAGACGAATGGCTTTTGCCGCTTCTATTTGCATACGTTCATCAACTAATTGGCGCCCTACCATGAGTGAGGTAATTGCGTAACGAAAAAGCTTCGTACGATACCATCTCATGATACATTTACGCGTTGTCTAAAAATTAATGCTAAACTATGCTAGCTAGTTCATTTAAATTTTAGAAAGTACAAAATTAATTTGGTCATGTGTTATACTCCCTTAGCTTGTTTACACTGTCCTAAATAAGTAAATAAGTGATTTTTATAATTCCTTGTTTACATATATTGTCCTCTTATGAGAGTTCTGAGTTTTCGACTCATCACTTTTCTTTAAAATCGGTGTTATATAAATAACCTCTTATTAGAGTTTTGAGTTTTCGACTCATCACTTTTCTTGAAAAATCGGTGCTCATACAAATAATAAGCAGATAATATAGTGACAGTCATATACATTGTACGAGTATTGAAGATGCAAATTAAAGGGATACTTTGTCTTGTAGGAATTGAGTTTGAAAAAATATAAGTGAATTTTTGGTGTACTAGTGAATGACTAATTATTAATTAGTGCAAAAAAAAATTCTTACCAGATGGTTTGGTGGCCTATGATTTTAATTTAGAGTTGTTCAAGCAAAAAATAATTAGGCAACTGATGTTCTACTTCTACCTAACCTAAAAAAATTTGACACGAGCAATGTTTTACATTTTGTGCAACCTCCCAAGTGTTACTAGATTATGATTAGTCTAATCATATGTGACTTTATTTTATTATTGTTAGATTGTCTAATTCTGCTAGCTAGCTTATTATTTAATTAATTACTACTTTTTTGTGGGGCTATTTTTATATAATTTATTTGATTTGATATTATGATATATTCATGTTTGTTTTCTTCTACATAGTAGACCCCAATTATTATTGCATAATTTGCATTGGAAATGTTTCTTAAATAGTTCGCCTCTTCTTAATAGCTACACATGCTATTGCTTGTAAATATTTGACGATTATTTGACATTATCTAAAATGAAGATATAATTCAACAAGCATAGACGAACAATATAATTGTACAAGTACATCTAGCAAAACTTAGGGTTTATTTTCAGTTCAGTTCAGATTCTAATTTTCTTCTCTTATAAAATATTCATTTCAGTTCAATTTAGCTCAATTCAGTCAATGAAACATACCCTTAATCTTAATTATTAGATTTCTAGATGATGTGTCGGTTATTTTTACTACACGAGCACATCATTGGCTGATATTATTACTTATCAATTATTATTAATAGGTACTTGAGATGTTGATGGGAGGGGAGATAGATGAAGAAAGGTGGGAAATGCCAGAGAAAGAAGCCCAAGATCATGATCAAGAGTTTTGGGATTTTGAAGACCTTGAATTTGAGTGTGATTCTTCATTCTCCACATCAATACATGAAGATTCAATTTATACTGGAAGCTTGAATTGAATTATGGCGGGAGAGAAGATTTGAAAATTGCGATAGTTTTCATGTAAATAAAACATAAACTTTGTAGGATCATGAATTTAAATGTTGTAACATAAAACTATAAATGATTGAGTTTATTAGACAAAAATTATGAGAGGTTAATTTTAATTATGTGGGGCGCGCTCCTAGTGTTACATGTTACATACTCGGATTTAAGAATAATCTCGATTGATTTGTACGTACAAATTACGAGTCAAAAGTTCGTTAGTCCTGTATCCTATTGTTAGTTTGTAGTGCTATATCAAAAGTTAGTAAGCTCTTGTACTCCCGTGTAGTAAAAGTAGTTGTAATAGTATAATTAGTATTGTAAATGTCCCTCTTGTTTTGTTAACACTTAATTCATTTTACGAGTAGTAGGTTTTAAACATTTAAAGGTGCGTTTTATTATTTGTTTTTAACATATCTAGCTAAATATGTTCTAGTTTAATTTAATTTGAATTTACTTAACCTTATTCAGCTAGGACAACCTTAACTTTTTTAAATTTTTTTATATATATATTTATTGTAAATAAATCTTGGATATATAGCACTAATCTTATCAAGGGTCTTTAATCAAAATTAAATGACTATTTTAGCTCCTTAATTGTTTTATCAGTCTACCATACAAATATTTGAGCATCAATATTTAACTATGTATTATTACTCCATATCAAGACTTATGAAAAGATAGCTAATTTAAATTACTTATCAAGACGATCTAATACAATTTTATATATTTTTTTTCCTTTTACGTCGATAATAAGTACTTACTCATAGTCAATATTTTACCTCGTTATTCAAAATATCAATATGATTCAAAGGACTACTTATAAAAACCTGCCAACTACAGATATATATGTGCAAGATTACAAGCTTAGCTAAGTTTAAAAAGCTACTATTTGTTGCAAAATAAAAGGTTGGATAGAATTATTGATATACCAAGTATTCGTACGTATTAATCAGAATCAAGGACAATAATAACACTTTCCCAAAAAAAAAAAAAAAGGACAATAATAACACAATTAGATTTGTCGATCGTGTGGCCAAAAACTTTGCATCAAATTAAAGGACCACAATAAAATTAGCTAGAACTCTTAAATGCTATGTACTCTACTATTGTACTGATCAAGCTTAACAACCTAGTACTGTTCTTTTGGTAACTAAGTTTCAATTCTATGGAATTTGGATCTCTTGATTTAATTTTCACGAACTTATATATATGAGTACTAGGTGTGGTGATCGGTTTATTTTAATTGCATTGTCTCTTTTAAGAATTTATGTAGAAGTTAATCATTCAGTCAAATGAAGCAAGTTAAAATGAAATATAATAAAACGGTGATACAGTTTTATTAATTATACGAATCTTATATGAAGTAGAAAAGTCACAAGTTCAACTTTTGTTTATGATATCATTGTCTTTATATAGTACAATATTTCATCAATTTGGAACAAGTCTATTGAGTGATTTCACTTACACTATATATCAGAGATTTCAGCTCAGCAATGATGATTATTTTGAGTTTAATATAATGCACTTGATTATTATTAATTCTTCTTGTTTATTCAAATTCCAACAGTGGATCCTAATGAAATCATCAATCATACAATATGATTTTAATTAAAGAAAATTAATATATACAGTAGTCCACGGCAAGGGTCAATGTGTTATATCTTATACTTCATTAGATGTGGCTTAAGCCATGCAGTTTTGACAATAATAATAAAATGCAGTACTCAACGGCAGAATCAACCCGAGCCGCCTTGGCTTATAATAATAACAGATTTAAGGGTCTGTTCTCATACGTTTATTTTCATATCAGTTCAGTTCAACTCCTAATTTTCTTCTCTTATAAAATATTCAGTTCGGTTCAGTTCAGCTGAGCTCAGACTATGAAAACAGACCCTTAGTCTAATAATACGGAGTAGAGAGATTTGCGCATCATATACATAATATTTAAAATTAGGGTAATGTTATATAAGCATTAAATATACTCTTGGAAATTGTATAAAATTAGAAATTCATGACAAAAACACGCGTAAATCAGTGTTATTAGTTATTATATTTTGATGATTTCTTAACTTTTTTATGATATTCAAGTGTAAATTTAATGCTTATATGTAGTCATAAGGGCTATATATAACATTAAATGAGATAGTATCCTATCATACGGCATACGCAACCAATTGGATAATTAATGTAGGTATTTATTATTTACGGCTTATCTATGTATCAACCACTGTCAAAATCTTCTATTTGATGATATTTTAAACATCGACGCATTAACAGGTAGACTCATGCTCATATGTGTTTGCTTCATTATTACAAAGTATATGGTAATTTTGAGTTCGTTACAATTGTGAAATCATTGGTTCTTTATATACTCATCTAGTAATCTAACTTGCAACGTTAATAACACTTTGAATTTGATTAACTCTTCTAATTAAATATAGCATAGAATTTGGTCTTGACCCTTGAATTGTACATAATTACACACACATTAATAAATATATAATCCTAAAGGCGCTGCTGATCCTAAGCACTTAATTACCCATCATAATTAATTACCCCATATCTCCAATGTCTGCGAACCAAGCTCCTCCAAACCCCCTTCAAATGGTTGATCAATTGATCAGATCTAATAAAAAACCAAAAAGAAAAATCACACAATACATTTTTGGTCAGGGCTCTGCTAATAGGGATAACTCCATGGAATGTGTCAATGGAGGAAATGGATCTGATGACTCCCCTGTGTCTGGGGGTCAGAACTTTCAGAATTTTCAAGCTAATCTTAAAGGCGCTGCTGCAACTCCGAGGTCCTTTCGGGACTTATTAAGAGACACTCAAATAGCCAACCAGAGTGCTAATGAGGTTTGTGCTAATGAGGTTTGTATTGAGTTGGATGATGAGGAAGAAGTCTCGGATGATGATGAAGCACCAGAAGGTATAGTGGACTCTGAGCGATGCCCTGTAATTCTGCTAACAAAAGAGGAGAAGAAAGCAATGCGAAGGCCTTGGCGGAACACTCTTATAATAAGAATGTTCGATGGAAGCCTTGGATACATGGGTTTGATGAAAAAACTCAAGAGAAAATGGCAATTAAAAGGAGATATGAACCTCACTGACATTGGTTCTAAATATTTCATTGCAAGGTTTTCCAATGCAGATGATTACAATTATGTCTTGACCCAGGGTCCTTGGCTAATTGATGACAAATATCTCACAATTAGGAAATGGACGCCAAATTTCATCCCTGAGGAGGCATCTATCAGTGTTTTGACTGTTTGGGTTAGAATACCGAATCTGAGTGTTGAGTATTTTGACAAGGAATTTTTGAAAAAAATTGGTTCTAAGATTGGGAAGGTAGTCCGAGTGGATAAATCCACAGCTTCTGCTGAGAGAGGTCAATTCACTCGGTTGAGTGTAGAAATCGACCTTGCCAAACCTTTACTAGCAAAGTTCTGGCTAAAAGGAAAGATATGGAGAATTCAATACGAAGGAATAAAGATGGTTTGCTACAAGTGTGGAAGAATGGGTCATGATGCAGACCAATGTGCACCTACCACTTCGATTGACAACATGGTGGTGGATGAGGGGAACAAGCAGCTTGACAATACTGCCTGTGAAGTGCCTGCCCCCCCTCCAGTGATTAGGCCGGAGGAAAAAGATGAGTATGGTGATTGGATGTTAGTCAAGAAGCCTGGCCGGAGAAAAATTTCCAAACCGGATAAAGCAGGGCAAAACACTAGCAAGGGTATCAATGGAATTTCAATGGAGCAAGGTCAACGCAAAGATACTGCAACCGAGAATAATGGCAAGATTAGTGGAGGATCTCGGTTTACAGCGCTCAATGTGGAGGTCTCTCAAGAAGATATAGAAAGAGCAAATAATAAGGAAGTTGTTAACAATAATGAGATTAAGAATCCGGATGATGAATTCTCTGAAAAAAGATCTCCAACTCAGCAAGATAAGTATATGGCAACTACCAATCTAGGGGATAATTCTCAAAATCCACTAGAGAATATACAAAATAATTTATCTTTTACTTATGGAAAAGATATTTTAATCAACAAAAAAATCCTTCGGTTAACAAAAATAAAAACAAAAAAGATTCCCAGAATGCTAGCAAGTCAAAAGAACTTCCTTATTCCCCTTTGACTCCTGTTACCAACTTGAAGGTGAATAAACAAGTAACCCATAAGCCTATTAGCCTCGGCAAAGAAAACCAACAGCTTAGTATCGCGTCCTACAAAAAACAAATCCCTGAAGAAGCAACCCAAGAAGAACCACAAGAAGTTGTTAATGATGCAGCACCAAAGTCCACCACTAATGCTTCCCCCAATTCCGAATGTGATCAAATTATCAATTCCCCCGGAGAAGACACTATGTGTTTGACAACCAATGGAGATGCCCTATTTGGGCATAGCAAACCCCCTGATACATGTGATGGAGGTGAACATCGAGTCTTGGGAGGAACCAAGCCCGGAACCGATGGAACAAGTATGGACCTTGAAGGTGCCAGTTGAAGTTAACAGGGTTCTAAACCTTATTCGAGGTGCTTATGTAAGTTCCCTAAATAATATTCCTATGTCTATAGAAGATAACATTCCTAATCTAGCTCCTAATAGCTCTCCCATAACTTGTATGGTATGGAACGTACAAGGGGCGGGTAGTAAAGAATTTTATCTATGCTTTGAAAGAAGTAGTAAAGGTTAATAAGCCTAATGTTTTCGCTTTGGTTGAAACTCATATGGGGGGACAACAAGCGGAAAAAATAGCCTCAATTCTTGGTTATACAGGGCATACGAGAGTGGATGCTCATGGTTTTAGTGGTGGAATATGGGTATACTGGAAATCAGAACTAGTATCAGTTGAGCCTATAGTTAAACATAGATAATATATTACAATGGATATTAAAAGAGTGGGTGAGACCCCATGGTACTTCACTGCGGTTTATGCTAGTCCGGACCCAACCAAACGTAATGAATTATGGCAAGAATTACAAAATTTTGCTAATCAACATAGTAAACCCTGGCTATTAGCAGGGGATTTTAATGAGACCCGTTTTGCTTGGGAGAGAAGCTCGAGCTGCCATGAGACTACACGTAGAATAGCTCTTTTCAATGAATGGGTTCAAGATATGGAGTTGTTAGAAGTGGAGTTCAACGGCCCTTCCCATACGTGGGCTAGGGGGAATTCTATTTCAACTAGAACAAGTGCAAGGCTTGATAGGGCTTTGTGTAATGGTGAATGGAGCCTTAAATTTGCAAATGCTGCCTCAAAGAACCTTCCTGCTGTAAGGTCTGATCACTGCCCGATTTTGATATCCCCTAATGGTTTTGCTCCTATCTCGAATATAAACAAACCATTTAGATTCCAGGCTGCTTGGATGACACACGAAAAATTTCGAGAATTTATCGAAGAGAAGTGGGATAAGGATGCGCCTTTGATCCCCCATTTACAAAAAATAGCAGCAGAGCTCCAAGACTGGAATCAGTCAGTCTTCCACAACATATTCAGAAAGAAACACATCCTCCTTGCTCGAATAGCAGGGGTACAGAAATCCCTCTCTGAACAGAAATCAAGAGATATGATCAAACTGGAAGCAAAGCTGAGAAAAGAATTAGATGAGGTTCTTGAGCAGGAGGAACTGTTATGGTACCAAAAATCAAGGGTCGACTGGCTGCGAGAAGGGGATAAAAATACTACCTTTTTCCACCTAAGTACTATCACTCGGAGATGGAGAAATAAGATCAATGCAATCAAGGAAAAACCTGATGATGACTAGATTCATGATAAGGATAAAATTCAAAATACAATTGTGAATTATTTCCAACATTTGTTTAAGGCCGAGGGTGAACTTGAACATGGTATTCTTCCAACTGATATTTTCCCGGAGTTTACTACTAGGGACTGGAATGCTCTATCTCGTCCTTTTACTCGGTGTGAAATAGACAAAGTCATTGAAGAGATGGGGGCACTCAAGGCCCCCGGACCCGATGGTTTTCAAGTACTTTTCTGGGATCTTGTTGCAAATAATGTTTATGAAGTTGCACTCAAAGTCTTAGCAGGCAAAGGCCTTCCTGATAATATTAACGACACCTTTATTGTCCTTATTCCTAAGGTGGATGCCCCGGAGCTTCCTTCTCAATTCCGGCCGATTAGTCTATGCAATGTTATTTACAAAATCATTACAAAGGCTATTGTCAACCGAATTAAACCAATGATGCCTCACCTTACTTCCTGTACCCAAACAAGCTTTGTCCCCGGAAGACAAATTACGGACAATATAGTGATTGTCCAAGAGGTTTTGCACACAATGAAGAATAAACAAGGTGCTACTGGTTTAATTGCAATAAAAATAGATTTCGAGAAGGCGTATGACAGGCTGCGTTGGGAGTTTATTCATGATACCCTACTCGAAATCAAATTCCCTTCGGTGATAATTGAAGTAATAATGGAATGCATCACTACCTCGTCAATGAAAGTCTTATGGAACGGGGAACCCACGCAATCTTTCAATCCGGGAAGAGGTGTTCGCCAAGGGGATCCCTTGTCTCCATACATTTTTGTTCTTTGTATGGAGAGACTTAACCAAGTCATCGAAGACTCAATCATAAAAAATGAATGGCGGACGATCCGAGCAAGCAGAAATGGTCCTAAATTTCTGTTTTTTTGTTTTTTTTTAGGGAGAATTTTACATGATGATGTCGTAAGTGTGGCTTTGTCACGTTTTGTTCCCCCTTAATTTCTGTTTTTTTGTTTTTTTTTTCCGGGGCTTTGCCCCTCGTATGCACCAAAAAAAAAAAAAAAAAAAAACATTAATAAATATATACCCTCGAGGGTATGCATGAATTTGTATTTCTTTTATCTGTTAGCTTTGGTTTAAAATATGTCATTAGTTACATAAGAATTTTGACTACTGTTGCCTTTTGAATTGCAAAGTAGTCATTAAAGATTTGAAAGCATATATAATGATGTTATAATTAGAAAATAAACTAATTAACAACTTGCATTCTTAAGTTAGTTATAATTAAGCAAACTTCTGGTCACGGACGTATGCTCTTTGTCAAACTCAAACGAATAAGATAATTGATACCTAATTAAGCTATCGTTATGAAGGAATCTAGTCTAGTAGATAAAATGTCTAAAAGTCTAGTTTCAACTAATTTAATTAAGTTACATGCATTTCAAAATTAGGCATCTTATAGGTTACGTATGTTATACTCGGTGGAAAAGAATATTCATTGACCCTAATCCAACTAATAATAAACCGTGTTTGGTGAATATATAGCTGAAACTGAAAGCTGAAGTCGAAGCGAATTGTATTAACTTTATTGTATAATTAACTGATTTGACTAACTTATTTTATTAACGAATTATATTGTATAAAAGTGTTTGGTAAATAGTTGCTTGCTTAAAGTTGTTTGAGTACGTGAAATGACCACTAAGGTAATTGTAGGGATAGGTAATTGAGATAGGATTTATGAGCTTTTTGTAATAGAGCTTAGTGGAATATATTCTTTAAATCAATTTTCCATCAAACACTTAAAATTAGTAATAGTCAATAAATTAATATTGATTAATAAGTTAATTTTGCTCAAATAAGCTACTTCGTATATACCAAACACATCCTTAGAGAAAACTACCGACGTAAGTTAAAGGTCTTATTTCTTTCGTTAAATTTAATCAAGCTGTACATATTTGATTAAAATTTACTTTCACTACTACATTTTTGACCTATTGCAATCCCTAAATCCGTGGCATTAGGCATCAATATCCGTGGAATTAGGCCTAATGCAACGGCCATATACCGTGGCATCTGCTGGCGTTGCAATAGGTCTAATGCAACGACATATGACACCTAATGCCACGGCATCAATGATCCGTTGCATTAGATCAATAACTACTGCAACGGCAACATTATTGCCGTGGCACTATCTATAATACCTAATGCCAAGGTTTCCTACACCTAATGCCACGGTTCCCTATACCTGATAATAATAATAATAATAATAATAATAATAATAATAATAATAATAATAATAATAATAATAATAATAATAATAATAATAATAATAATAATAATAATAATAAAATTATAATCAGAATTTAAAAAAAAAAACAAAAAAAATAGAATTTTATTTTCAGTAATTGAAAGTTTGTACATTGTTATCTATAAGGAAAATTACAAAACCTAAATTATCACTAGTTAAACTAAGAAAAAAAAACAATTAAAATTTAAAACTAATCATTTTGTCCCCCAACAATATTTTCAGTAATTGTTTGGTCCACATTATCATTTCTTTCTCTTTGCTTCTCCAATTTCTCAAGTAAAGCAATTTAGGAAGCATCTTCTTTAGCTTTAGTATCCACCTCTTTTACTAGTACTTGATGCTGGTAGAGTTCTTCGCAACTTAGTGTTCAAAGTTTCTTCAATCAAGTCCATCTCCTATCATAGCAACATAAGGTAATAATTTAGCAAAAATAAATTGGCCAATATGGCTAACGCCTAGTTTAGGTAAAGCTCCAATTGGATAAAGTACCAAAATTCTATATCAATTACCAACTCCAAAATATTTGGAATCACAAAAGAAGAATCGAGCACTCAAAAAAAAAAGATGGTTCTTTTTTCTCTGAAATCGAAACAGAAGGGTTGGCCCTACTCTTACTACCATGTTGATAATAAGTATAAACCTGGGATATCGATTGAGAAGCATAATAAGCACAACCAAGCCACCACCAAAGAACTAATCATAGATGGGAATCGAAAATGTGATTGTGCATTGAGAGTTGTGTCAACAGAAGATTCATTTCATAAAACTACTCAAATTAAATCTCAACAAGTTCTGACAGTAAGGACTGTAAACGAAGATACACAGGTTATATTAAGGTGTAAGAATGTACCCCGATGTTTCATCGTATACATAATCACTTTGCCCAGCCCAAGAACCTAAAATAAATGAGAATGAATTATATCACCAAAAATGTTATTATATTCGTATTAAAGAATGTAAACATAAAGAAATAGATCATATGGACATTAACCATACTTTCTGAATCTTGGTTACCATTTTCCACACCATCTGAGTGCTTGTGTCCACGCTAGGCATAGAGGTGTCATTATTCGGCTCAAAAATACTAAAACTAGACATATGGATGAGTATAGACACAATACTAAAAAGCAAAGGGAAAAGGAGTGCACAAAAGCAAACAGGAAAACATGAATTAACCATTTACCTTCAAAAAAAATTATAACAATTTGAAAGATGTTCACACAAAGAGGACCTTAATTCATCATGCATAAAACAGCTATTCAACTATCCCATGTATACAACAGAAATCACATTAATTTAATCACATTCAAGGGTTCTCAGCCAGATAATTATAATATTTTAAAAAATACATAATAAAAAATTTCATTTTATTCACAGGCTGGCAACTTAAAATACAAACCTGCGTCACGTACAAAAACCTCTCGGTTTCATGATAAATACTGCAATGATAAGTAAAGAATTAAGCTACTTATAATTATTGCAAAATGGAAACATAAAATAGTTAATCAAAAGCTAACAATCAGAGACACAAGTAACAAAGTGCTCAACTGTAATCTCCATTTTCCATCAATCGCATGGCATCTTCAGTGAGTTGGTCAAAAACACGTTTTATTTCTACGGATATTTTTACTCTCTTAGCTTGTCTTTTCAGTGCTTATATTATTAGATTATAAGTATATATAAGCTATTGTTAGCTACAAGTATACAAGTATAAATAATAAGCAAACTCTTCTAATCTTGACTTTTTGATGACAACATCACAACAAATCTGTGGGGTTAGTTAATTAATTAAATAATAGCAATTCATCAATTGAACATAGCTAAGTGGGTTATATACTTTTATTACTAGATTTCACGGTGACTATGTTCTATTTTATACTCCGTAACAATAAGAATTTTTTACTACGTATCAATAGGTAATAATGGATCCAGCACTATATTTTGATTGTATATTTACTGGAAAAAAAACTCCTTGAAAATTGAAAAATGCAATCACCAACCAAGTAATTTGACAACATACAGTTAGTTAGTGTGCAAAAAGAACTTCTATTAAGCACACTTGGTCTTTTAGGTAGCTTATGATTATATTGTGAGTTAAGGGAATGACTAATCGGCAATGGACGGTTTCATAAGCACATTAATTTTGCAGAATTCAAATTGATAAACTACTAATCTATATATGACAGTCATGACATATATATTGATAAGTAGATTACAGAAATTGAAAGCTTTGGAGCACCCTAATCTAATTTCCCTAAAACTAAACAGCTTTACTATTAATCAAAAGAGGTTTAACTCCATAAATCAAAGTATTTTAGCATATTACTTAATTCTAATTTCACCAACATAAATCTCGCAATAACATATTCAATCAACTTATCCAAACAATATAAGAAAATCAATTACACAGAATAAAAATAATCTAGCCCAGAATTTCAAACTTTAAAATTTACATGTTCATATTATCTAAACCCAGAAGAATAAATTGAAATTAATCGAAAACAAGTAGAAAGCTTACTTTCGCTTATTTTTCCAATCTAATCTTCTTGCAAACAGTGGCACGCCTCTAGTGCATTGAATAGAATGAAGAGAAATACCTTCAACAAACGCTCCAAATTAATACAAAAAAAAAAAAAAAAAAAACAATTACCAAAATTAAATTGAACCATCATCAGAGCAAAACTTGAAGAAAATTGCAAATTCAAAAACCCTAACAATTTAACAACCCGAGTTAACAAGATCAAGAAGGGTAAAAGAGGGAAACATTTAACAAACTTCATGAGAACAGACAAGCTTCTTGGTAACTCCGCCAGAGATTGTCAATACTCATTAATAATCGATAGATGAGTAAAGAGCCATCGTGTGGTCAGGATTTTCAACATTGGCGATAGAGAAGTATGGTGAGGGGCATCCATGGAGCGAGAGACAGGGAGTGGGACTTATGCTTCTAAATCGGCATAGAGAAGTCAAGGAGGAGAGGCGGAGGTGGAGAAACTGGAGGCAGAGGAGAAGAGAGATAAATGACGGCGATTCATTTGGAATAATGAAGGGTTTAGGGAAAATAATAGGAGGGAAGTTAAATGGATTATTATACGCGCCTATGTGAATTTTTCATCCACCTCAAATTCGGCCGTTGCGTTAGACCACCCTATTGCCACGGCTTTCTCATAGCCGTTGTAATAGGCCTATTTATTGCCATGTTAAAAGCTTCCGTTGCATTAGACTATGCACATGCAACGGCTATATCTGTAGTCGTTGCCTTAGCCCTAATTTAGTCGTTGCATTAGATAAAAAATGTGGTAGTGTTTTGACTAAATCTCCAAACAATTATATATATGAGAATGCTAGAAATACACAACAACAACAAAAAAAAAGAGCACTTTTAATCTTTGATCATATACGCTCTATATCACCGACTAAAAATAATTAGCACATTAAATAACAACCACAAGAATAAAAAATAAGACTTTTTAACAAGATTAGTTTGGATGGATAACCTTGTACGTTGTTGCAGCTTCCATCTGGCTATTTGTGAAGTAGCATAAGAATACAATCAGAAGAATCTCTAATTAAACTATATGATATGATATGATGAAAATAATTAAGCTATAATTAAAGTAGCAATTAAGCTTCACATTTTACTACATAGATGTGTTCAAAAGTTGAGCAGCTGGGGTGTTGTTCAGCTCCTTTTTTTTTTTTTTGTTTGAATAGGAGCTGAACAACACCCCAGCTCCTATTCCGATCTCTAATCTCCACGTAGCCCAAACCAACGACTAAATTATTGGTGATTTCCTATTCTTGAAAGCTCATTATATACACCTTGGTGTACCGTACACCCGAGATCATTTACTCATTCAATCAACAAATGAGTAAAAATATTACTACATATTTGGTTATTTGTTGATTAAATGAGCAAATGACCCCGAGTGTACGGTACACCCAAGTGTATATAGCAAATTCTACCTATTCTTGTATTAGTATTGTCTCATGGGATGATGGATTTACAATAACTAATTATGAGAATATTATTGAGGAAAAAGATCCTTTGAATTAATAAGCTAATGTACTGTAGTACATACACTTCATTTAGTTCTAAATCAAAACAAATGGAGTATGTAGAAAAACTAACGTTCCTCATTATAGTGAAATGTGTATATATAATTATATTCGATAGTTTAAAACTAAGCTGAACTGAATTGACTAGAGCTGAACTGAACTAACGTTCCTGTATTATAATGAAGTGTATAACAACTAACGTTCCTGCATTATAATGAACTTCATTTAGAGTCTATTCTCATTGACTTAACTAAGTTGAACTAAACTGAACTTATTAGAGTTGAACGAACTAAACTGAACAGAAATGAATATTTTATAAGAGAAGAAAATTAGAAGCTGAACTAAACTGAAAATAATCGTATCAGAACAGGCCCTTAGGGGTTACTCAATTGGTCAAAGCTTACTTATTAGTCAGTTAACGCGTTTTCAGTGTGAGAGTAAACCCTAACCAAGTAATTCTTGACCGACCAAGTAACCCCTAACCGATCGAATAACCTCTGAATAAATAACTCATGACCGAGTAACTCTAACCGACCGAGTAATTTAAGGCCCTGTTCTAATACGATTATTTTCATTTCATTTTAGTTCAGCTCTAATAAGTTCAGTTCAGTTTAGCTCTAATAAGTCTAGTTCAGTTCAGCTCCTAATTTCCTTCTCTTATAAAATATTCAGTTCAGTTTAGCTCTAATAAGTTTAGTTCAGTTCAGGTCTAATAAGTTCAGTTCAGTCAATAAGAACATGCCCTAACCTTCTGAATAAGTAACCCCCACATATGAAAATTTGTGAATTATGATTGATGTTTAAAAGGTTCCTAAAAATTTAAGTTTACTTTTCTAAAAAAAAAATGTTGAATTCATATATATATATATATATATATATATATATATATATATATATATATATATATATATATTATATATATATATATATATATATATATATATATATATAATTCTTTATTCAGTTTAGCGTAGATTAATAAGATCGTATTGCAATACAATCTAATAATTGGCAAAGCATCACTAAGTTTTAGATGTGGCTGATCACGGGATGGCTTACATCGTGTGGCCGGGGTTACTTATTCAGGGGTTAATTAGTCGAACAAGGGTAACTTTATTTTTCAGAGTTGAGGTTATTTGGAAAGTCATGGGTTACTTTGTAAGGGGTTACTAGGCCGGTCAAGGGTTACTCGATCGGCCAAGGATTACTTGGTCGGTAAGGGGTTACTCGATCAGTGTTGTTTTGGGGGTTTTTTGTCCCTTGGGAGAGTTACAACACGAAGTCTGATCCGGCTGAGCTGTACCTGCAAAACAAACGGAGACACCGGTTGGGTGGTGCTCCGCCTCCGACGCACAAGTTAGAAACTTGAAGGGAGAGAAAAAAGTGCGGAAATTTAGGTGGGTATCTGCTCGGATTCCAAGCTCGGGACTTTCTCTGATGTGAGAGAATGCAGGTGTAATAAATGATTGAATGTGTCCCCAAAATGGGGGAATATCTCCCTATTTATAGGATCCTTGGAGAGCGTGCCCCTATCTAGGTCATTTGACCTAACTTTTAGTGGGCTGCGCCGTAAAACGGCGCTTCTAGGGATTTTGGCCCTTGAAGGCCGCCATTTCAGAAGTATATCTAAGGGCACCAAGTGTCAAGAGGGTGTTAGGCCACGTGGGCCATCCTGAGCTCGACACGTGGCTTCCTCTCATTGGTCCACGTGTCTAGGGTATTTTTACCCTAAACATTTGCCCCTCACAGGTTGCACGTGCATATCACGTGGGGCCTGTGACACGTGTCCACCTTTCATGGGTGAACAGTAACGGGTAAAATTTTTTAATTTCAAATCAAAAATTTCCCCCCACTTTCGCTTTCTATAAGTAGAAAGTTACCCCCCCTTTTCACACTTTTACGTTCACGTTTGACTTTTTAGTGAGAGAAAGAGAGAGATTCTAGAGAGAAGTGCTCTGCTTCCGTCTACGTCACAGCAAGTTCAAGCTTCCGAGTGCTAGTAGTTCAACACCCGGTTTACCGGCTGTAGCGGTTTTCAGATTTTTCCAGAGAAAAAGCGAGGTAACCGCCTGTACCATTTTAGCTTTCCTCCCTTTCAATTTATATACCATTTTTTCTCCGCCTGTATACCTAGCTTTTTAGAGAATATAAATGAGTTCCCAATCCACTCACTCGGCACTGCCTAGGACACTCAGCCGATCCCCCGGAACGGCTGAGTCTAGAACAGGGGGTGCCTCTTCTGGACTGTCGGAACCAATATGCTCATCCCCGAATTCCTCCCTCTCTGTGTCTGTGCAGGACACAATGGCCAGAACGAAACAGACGGCCAGACGGTCTAAGAGCCGGCGCACTATGAGAGTGTCAGCCGATGAGGTTTTCCCGGACGGGGAACAGAGGGATTGGGAGGAAAGCGGATCTGACGAAGAGGCTCCCTCTACTTCCGGGAGCTCTGGGGTACGAGAGGTAGACGAAGAGGGAGCCGCCTCCTCTAATGAAGCCGGCGATGCTGAGGTCGGCCAAGGGTCAAGGGCCGAATCTTCCGGCTCTGACCAGGACAATTTTGCGGCTGACTATCAGCAGCCGCCTAAGGTCGCTGATAACCCTAACCCTAAGAGGACCCGGATGCTGCCGGGTAACATTTCCCTCCTTAATAGTGGATTCAGGGCCTTCAAGGAAAAGCATCCCTTTGTAAGGGGTTGGGAGATTATCGTTCCTCCGGCTGATGCCGTAATGGCCTGGAGTGATGATATTGAGCACGCAGATGACTACTTTATCTGCTACGAGGCGGTTATCGAAGCCGGCCTCCGGTTCCCCCTCCACCCCGGGATTAGGAAAATCCTTAAGGGGTACGATCTAGGGGTTTGGCAGCTCACCCCCAATTCGTGGGTGAATATTCTAAGTTACATCGTCGCCTACGAGTTTCAAAACTTGAACCCTAGTTTCTCCGCCTTCGCTCATATGCACTACTTGAGCAAGGCCCCAGGCGGCCATGGGGCATGGTATACTCTGACTACCTTGCCCAATACTTGATGACTTTGGACAAAGTGTCCAAATGGTCCGGGTGGAAGGACTAGTTTTATTTGGTTTCTTCCCCCACCCTAAGACACAACCGGACACTGCGCCGGTACAATGCTGAACCGGCTCTTCTGGGACGTAAATGCCCTCTCCCGGCGCTATCTACTAAGGCCCGGGAGAAAATAATGGAGTCGGGATTCTTTGAAACAACAACTGAGCCCATGGGGGATGGGACTCACCTCATTGTACCCAAAAACTAGATTCCCCATCCGGACTTCTTCAAGGACGAGTGCTTCTTGTCCGCCTGCGGGCTAAGTACCATGTTTTCCAGGGGCAGAATATTTCTCATCCGGAAAGATTGTTATTTTACTTTAATTGCAAACTTGCCATAATTCCTTCTAACCATAAATTCTTATTCTTGCAGACGAAGCCTTGAGAATGGTAGACCAGGCGAAGACACCGGCTAAGTCCGCGGCGCTGCTGCGCAAAGAGGCGGCACTTTCCAGGAAGGCAGCCGTCGAGGCTAAAGATTCCAAGAAAGGCGGGGTAAGACCGCCTGATTTAATGTGTTTGCATATTTCCTTTTCTTTTACAATTTTGCTGGTTGGGTATACTTACCCTTTGTTTATTTCTCAGGAGTCCTTCAAGAAGATCCCACGATCTTTCTCTAAGCTGCTCAAAAGGCAAGGAGATGATCTGGAGAAGACTCCGGCTGCTAAAGCCGCCAGGAAAGGCCCTCCTCCTCCCCAGACACAATCATCTACCCAATCCGATCGTCCAACGACCGGGGGCAAATCCCCTGCTGTGCTGAAAAAACTGAGCGAAAGCTCAGAACGCTCGAAGCAGAAAGCGTCGGATGTCTCTACGGCATCGAAGGGTGGCGAGCCACCTAATGTTACAGGCGGTGCGGCAACGCCTGGGGAGGAGCAGAATCCGGAGAACCATCCGGAAGCCCAAGGTAAGGGACGGATTGAAAATACCTTGGCCACTTGATTTTATGAGAGTCAAAACCAAGGTTGATCCTTCTAAAGGGTCGGTCTGCAGCCGGCAACGGATGAATGCCGACTACGTTGCCTCTATCTCACATAATATTACTTTTGATGCAGATCTGACTTCTGACCAGCCGGATCTTGCGGGTTTCGCAAAACGGATGGTGAGGACCCTCACCCG